TTCGTTGGCAAAGACGACGGTGATGTGTGTCCGTAACGTGCCGGAGCACATGCCCGGAGAGTATGGCAGATATCCGATGCGATATTAGATCGCTGGCGTGATTCCGTTTCCTTCATTGCTAACTGCGATGAGAATGGAGGGGGGCCGGAGCAACGCCCTACGGTGACGACGGCGACGTGCCGGAGCACATGCCCGGTGAGTACTCGGCTGCTTTCCTCTCCGATGATAGAAGACGTGCCGGAGCAACGTCCTGAGGCAACATCCAGCAGTGGCCTTCCCCGATGATGGTGGCTGACAGTGAGAATCTGACAATGGTGAAAACAGCCCGAGAAAATTAATTCTCAAGTGCTTTCTGTCCAATGTCTCTCACGTGTCTTTTGTTGTTCTTTCCCAATCACAGTGGAGGGGGGCGTGAGTCCAAACAGTGGTGAAAAACATTCTGAAAAATTAATTTTCAAAAAGTTTCGGTCCAATGTTCGTGCAAATGGCGAGATCCCAAGCAGTTCCTAGTCCAATGTTTTGCAATTACGGTGCGAGAAGAGCCAAGCAATGGTGGAAAACAACTCGGGAAATCAATTCCCAAGAAGCTCCGCTCAAAGGCTGGTGACGGCGGAGAGCTCAAGAAGAAGCATAGCAGATGTCCGATGCGATACTAGATCGCCGGCGCGATTCCGTGTCCTTCATCGCCAAGTGCAATGAGAATGGAGAGGCACTGTCCGGTAGCAAGAGCAGATCCAAACAGTGGTGAAAACAGCCGGGAAATCAATTCCGGGAAGGTTTCGGTCCACTGTTGGTGAAGATGGCGAGCCAAGCAAAGGTAGAACCAAGCCCGAAAAAATTAATTTTCAGGTGTTTCTTGCCCAATGCCTCCGTTCTTGATTTTTTTGTCCTCCCTCTTGTGGTGAAAGCTGTATAAAAATCAAGAAGATAGTATACTGCACAAAAAAAATTAAAATTACCTTATGAAAGAGATTGCAGCTTGGATGAAGATTAATCGCAAACAGCTCTGAATTCCTTGGTTTGGAGAATTGTAATTGTTGGGGGCTATTTATAGTGCTGAAATTTGCTAGAGTTTGAGTATGTTTATGATTCTGTGGTTTTATCCCTATCAAGTTGTTGCATCAGTCCTTAGCAAATTCATATTTTGCGGCTAATTATGTGGTGGAGTAGGAGATGCAGTTACTTGGGATTGGCATGGAACGTCGGCTTCATTGAAAAAATTCACACATGCTGACTCCTCAAATTTCATATTTTAAGAAGTTGATTTTGGCCAAAATTAATATTAGAAGATTGGTCAAAAATGAGATGGGCTGTTGATTGCGAACGTACTTGGCAATGGTGAAATGGACCGTTAATGAAATGGTGGCTTCTGTTTGGCTAGCTTGTTTTAAAATCTTTGAGATGAATTATGCTAAATTTTCCTAAACAATTTTAAGGGATGCTATTCAATTTGGATGCTAAGAAATTGTTATGTGCGCAGTCAAGGTTTAAATGATGAGATTGTGAACGCACTCTGAGCTGCCATATGCAAATGTGTACACTTGGACTACTCCGGTTAATTTCGAGACTACCTTCCCTCTGCATTTAAGGCACGTCAAGCAAGTCTCGAAGGGGCAATTTGTAAGCATTGAAAATTTAAATAATATTATCGGACCGTGGTGGATATTTAATTACTAAATTAATTACTTTAATTAGGCTAATTGAACTAATATTTATTTAATTGGGTTTATTAAATGGCCCATTGAATAATTAATTAGTTTAATTACTTAATTAAATGTAATTGGATATTGGATTGTTCGGCCTGAAATGGTGAAATATTTAATCGAGTTGGACCAGGCTGCTTGGATGAATGGGGTTGCCTAATTAGCGGGCTTGACTTGGTCTTGGCCCACTAAAATTATATGTGGATTATATAATTTTGAGGAATTTGAATATTTGATATTATTTGGAAATTTAATGAAATCATGAACCTGGACACAATGGTGTCCCGGTACATTCCTTAATTTAATTAAAGAAATTAAATTAAATAAGGAATTAAGAGTTGGTTGGAGATTTTCCCTCACACTCACCACTATAAATAGTGGTTTCATTTTCAAGAATTAGAGCTCTGGAAATCTGCATATCGAAGCTCTGCCGAAATCTCTCCAGGATATCGTCTGGAACACGCCCACAGTTGTACTGCGTATACCGCGCTGAGGAACACGCCACTTGAACACCGGAAGCCCTTCTTTGAAGATCAAGCTGCATATTAGCCCTTCATTGAAGAACAAGCTACATAACTCCGGAGGCCCTTCAGCAAGGAACTACTTCCAGTTCGGCATACTCCCGAACTCGGCATACTTCCAGTTCGGCATACTCCCGAACTCGGCACACTTCCAGTTCGGCATACTCCCGAACTTGGAATACTTCCAGTTCAATATACTTTGAACTAGGCACACTTCCAATTCAGCATATTCCGGATTCGGCATACTTCCAACAAAGAACTACTTTAAGTTCAGCATACTCTGAACTCGGCACACTTCCAATTTGGCATATTCCAAATTCGGCACACTTCCAATAGGCATACTGCTAGTAGAGAATCAGAGGACTTCTCATATACAGAGATTGTACCCCTTCCTGTTTGATATATACTTGATACTTCATTGTAACCGATACTTTGAATTTTGAATATATACAATTCAAGTTTTTCGCATTTACAGTCTCCTTAGCAGCGCACACCTGGGTCTTTGCCGTCAAAGTCACTCATCGCCATCACTGTCGCTCGTCGCCATCACCATTTCTGCTGCGCTACAGGTTAGTTCTATAGGTCTATATTTTGATTACTCTAATCTTAAACCCTAATCCCTAAATTCCTAATTCCATTATCCCTAAATCATAATTTAAGCCCTAAATTCGTAAGATAAAGTCAGTGAATAGTGAATATCTGGCTCTTCATCACTAGATTCAATAGGATCAGTTGAGACATCCATATCATCACACTATATATGAAGTGAAATGACTTTTGGTTGTGCACTTAAATGCTTAGATATGTAATGTATTGGAACTTGCATATTAAGGTTTGGAGGTTTCGTTTTAGATCAAATAAGATGATTACAAGTTTGTTAGGGCTCATAATTGTTTTGCATTTATTTGATGTTGATTGTGGTTCACAATTGCTTTAATAAAAGCTTAAAGTGTAACCTAGTTAATCACTTAATCCTTAATCAAGCTTCTTGCTTTATCAGCTTGCCCTCCATAGTCCATACAGATAGTTGAGAATTAAATGTTATTCATTTTAAACTAAACAAGTCTTAAATGATGTTTTCATTATAATGATGGTGAAGAGGAGAAGAGATTCACTTGTCATTATCTTGTTAGATGGTTGCTGCCTGTGTAGTGTTTTATTGTTGTATTCCTTTTTATATTGTTGATTTTTTTATAGTGGTTTGCTTTGATTTCTAGTGTCTTGTAAGGCTTTCTTTCTCGGGCCACCATGGAATTCTAGAATGCTTGTTGAAGTACCAATGAAAGGCAAGCTTTTCTAATTTGACATCTGGTCAACGAGCTCTGGTTGCGAGTGCCGAGTAGCAGCATTTGGTCGACGAGCGACGAGTAGCATCGTCTAGTCATTTTAATCTGTTTGGCTATGAGCAAGAATCAGGTATGTTTTTTTCTAGCGTTTTAAGAAGAAGCAAGACAATTCATGAAAGGTTGGTTATTCTTTTACTCAATCTCTTCGTTCTCTAATTAGTTTAACAAAATAGGTGTTCACAACTTTTGAATTTGTAGATTACTCAAATAGGCATGCATCGACAGTTAGTTAGCTCTGCTATTGTTTCAAATTTGAAAACTGATGTCAGAAAAGGAGCATGGGACAAAGTAGAGGTACGTACAATTTGCTTCTAAACGATTTTTTAAAAAATAACTGAATTTATCCTTATACTTTGTAAATTACTTTTGGGGTTCCTTTCTTTGACTAAACTATTAATCTTTTGAAACATGAGAAAACATGGTAAGGTTCTGAAGTTTTCTCATCCCCAAGTATAGACAGATGTTAGGGTATTTTGATTTTTCATTCATTAGCAGATGCTAAGATATTTATGTTGTTGGTTTAATAGCTGTAAATTAAGAATGAATGAACTGTATGTTGTTTGCTTGAATATTCTGATCTGCAACACCTACAAAAGTAGAAGTAGAATTTTTTCCACTTTACAGTTTATAATGGTTATACACCAATCTTTGTGGTCTCATTATGCTTTTTTTTTTTTTTTCAGGAAACTGTGTCTCACTTGAAGCAAAAACAATTAGAAATGGCTGAAATAGCAGTGTGGTTGGAGGCCACTGGTGGCGTGAGGAAAGGGAAGTAATGCAATAGCAGCACAAGGATATGGAAGAGCAATATCGTAGTATTTGTGAGACCGTCCAGAAAATGGAAGCATCATTTGCGCACTTTAGTGCACATCTTAGTATGCAGATGTGCCTTCAACAGCAGGGTATTTTCGTTACTACGCTGGTGCAGCAGACAAAATCCATGGCACCACTCTCAAGATGTAGAGTGAGCTCCAAGCATACACATTGTGTGAACCAATAGGTGTGGTAGGACTCATAATTCCCTGGAATTATCCGGCACAAATATTTGGGTTTAAGGTTGCCGCCGCATTAGCAGCTAGTTGTACTGTGATTGTGAAGCCTGCTGAACAGACAACCCTTTCTGCTCTCTATTATGCTCATAGTCTTTGATGATGTATCTAAAACCCGTATCACTAGAGTTGGGAGGCAAGTCTCCTTTCATAGTTTTTGATGATGTAGATGTTGACAAGGTTTCGGATCTTGGTTTAGCTGGAGTCACATATAATAAGGTAATCTCCATCCCAAGTTTCCTTTCCTCAACTATTAGCATGTAGATATACTGATTGATATTGGGGTTTTAATTTGGCATTTTGGCAGGGTGAAATATTTGCGGCTGCCTCACGAGTGTTTGTCCAGGAAAGAATTTATGACAAGTTTGTTAAGAAAGTAGTAGCAAAGGTGGTTGGTGACCCTTTTGATCCAAATGTTCGACAGGGACCCCAAGTATGATCTAGTTTGCTTGAAACAAGCCATATACACCATTAAGTTTACCAATACCAATATGCTTTAACATACATGTCTATTTGATGCATTTAGGCTAGTAAAAACCAGTATGAGAAGATACTTTCATATATAGAGCATGGGAAGAGGGAGGGTGCTACATTGCTAACTGGTGGTAAGCCACTGGACAGAAAAGGCTATTTCATCCAGCCAACTATATTTACAGATGTCTGGTAAAAACCTTCTACACTATAATTCAATCATAAAAAGATGGATGCAGTTAAAATCTTCAATATGTAGAGAATCCAAAACATTCTATATATGCTTTTGTTGCCTCATGCAGGATGACATGCTAATTGCAAAAGATGAAATTTTTGGACCTGTTATGCTTATACTGAAATTCAAGTAAGCTCAATCAAGCTCATACTATTAAGTATTAACAATTCCAGATGGGGCAACCCAAACCATTTTGGGAGTCACTTATTAGTCTTTTTTATTTGAATTTGTCAATTTAGACAATCTAGACTAGTCTAGTTTAACTCCCCGTTGTTTAGAGTTAGTAGGCAACATTTATCTCTTCCACACTCTAGGTTGTGGCTACAGATTTCATTGTAACCTAAAAAATGTGTTACATTTTTACTAAGATGATGCAGGACAGTGGAGGCGGTGATAAAGAGGGCTAATGACACAAAGTATGCCAATAACAACAATATATATTATATATATGTCTGTAGTTGAATGTATGGTATGCCATATGGTAATCCTATTACCCAAGGGAAATTTTGTGTATAATTACCACATGCCAATTGCCCAATTGTTGATATTTGGATGTACAGTAATTTAAACTTGTCATTTGTCCCTTGTCAGGAAATGATCGAAATGGCGAGGGAGATTGATTCGGGTAAGTGTTTGTGTACTTAGCCATTTGTATTGTAATAGTTGGTTCACTTCATACTGATGTCAATGTGCTAAACATGCATTTTAATTTCAAATGAACTTGTAAGTAAATTCAAATAGACATCAAATGCAATACAAAAGAATAACTGTCATGTTTCTTTTAAGTTCCATTCCTCTTCTTTTGTACAAATGAACATGTGGTGCAATCACATTGAATATGAAGTTCATTTGTAATGAACGCCTTTGCTGATATTATCCACCATATCATATGTGTGTGCAATGGAATTTAAGCCCCTGAGTGCATGATAAATTTTACCAAGTTAAAGGGCACTGTGTAATCAAGTGTTTACAGTTTAGCCTAGGCAAATGGTCTAACTTACACATCAAGGTTTTTTGATTTTTGAATATTCATATATGGAATAGAAGCAGCAGAAAAGGGGATTGAGGCTGCGGAGAATGGATGAATCATATGCTTGGATCTCTCTAATTAACTATGGAGTAATTTGTTTGGTCTTGTTTGTTTTCCATGTATGAGCTGACAATTAATGATGCCTTGAATATATTGATCTATTTTTTTGTTTGACTACATTGTTTTGCTCTATTCAGAGGTTCCCTTTTCCAAGATTGTATACATTGAACATACTGATTTTAGACTGAATGACTAAAGATTATTATGGCCTTGCTCCTGGGAAATTTGTGCTTCTTAGGTGCCAATGTTTAAGTTAAAGTAGTTTAATTTTTCAGTACACTTAAATGCATCTGCATCTGTAGAACCACAAGTAAGTTGTAGGATACAAGGGGAAGGGAATCTTGAATTCTAAGTTGTAAGTTTTTTTAGTCCTATGGCACTATGTCTCAAAGAAAGCACTTTTGCAGGTTCTCTTGGAGTTCAAGGAATATGCTACTGAAGTAGACGTTGATTTTGTCAGGAGGGCTGTTCGTGCTATTGGACGATGTGCCATCAAGTTAGAGAGGGCTGCCGAGCGTTGTATCATCGTCTTGCTTGAATTGATCAAGATTAAAGTAAATTATGTTGTCCAAGAAGCTATTATAGTTATCAAAGACATCTTCAGGAGATATCCTAACACGTATGTTTAAATTCCTACTTGTTATATTATATCATAATGATTTAATTATTAAGGCTAGATTTTATCTTCAGTTACGAGTCTATCATTGCTACACTGTGTGAACAGGTTTATTTCATATAAGTCTAGAATTTAATATTGACTAATGTTTATTTCCCTAAATTGTTAATTGTATTGTAGAATTTATTGAAATTTGAATTTCAATTGTAACTGGTCAAATTTATTTGATATTTGTAGAATTTTAAATTTTATTTTTTTTGGTTAGTAAATCTTACCGACCACCGTAGTGGTCGGTAATACAAATTTTAATTTTTTCTTGGTAAATCTTACCGACCACCGATGGATGATAATTCTGACCAATTACCGACCACCAATGGTAGGAAATATGCTCTCCTTATCCGACAACTATTAGTTCCGACGACTTCAAAAAAAAGCCGGTATTTCCAACCACCTTGACTAGTTGTCGGTAATAGCTAGGGCTTTTTTTTCCGAATCCATAAAGTGGTCGCTAAGTTGGTCGGAAACTTCATTTCAGACCGGAAATGCCCCTTTTCCGACCACTTTTTGGTGGTCGGAAAAATGCAGATTTCCAGCAGTGATATATTGTATTAAAGTATAACACATGCATATACATACAAGAGAAAGTTTACTATTCTAGTCAAATGAGTTAAATTACAGTTGACAATGAATGTTCGTTACCATAGTTTATAGTTTTTATAACCATATCCGTCGTCGCATAGACAATTATATACTTTTAGTTCACATTTTAATTGTTAATGTTATTGGTTGCTCTAAATTTGCCAGCATGAGTTGGTTTTAAATTAGAGGTTAACTTTCTAAATCTAAGCGAATTACAATATTACTTGAATTTAATAACATGTATAAAAAAAATTAAACATCATTCCTATTCCCCCGAGTGAAAACCCCATTTAGAACCATCAATAGCACAACTCAACATAGTAATCTACCTTCAAATTAGAAGATGATCTTATGATCTACTCAAAAAAACCTAGTTCCCGAAGAACTTAAAACGCGCGGTAGAGCTTCACAAATCAATAGACCTTTCAACAATTGAAATGAAGAAAGTTAAGTCAATAGATCTTATAATAGTAAGATGAACGAGTAAAGTTTACTATCTGTTAGAAGATGTGAATTTTCGACAAACCCAACTAAAAAACTTTAATTTGATAAAGAAAGTGGTCGGTAGAGCTTAAGGTTTGAAAGAAAACAGGTTCCAAAAGATGTATTCATTAAAGCTAAGGTCTACCAGAGGTGCCATATATATATACTAGTATTTGCACCCGTGCGATGCACGGAATGAATTTGTTGTAATATATTAAGAATATATGAATCGATATATAATTATTTAAATTAGAACATCAAATATTATATAGTGCATACGGTTTGGATCATTTATATATTTTGATGTTATTAAAGCTTGATTTTGTACAAATAATTGCTCAAATTAATAGCTAATGTCTAGATGTACGCATGCGGTGCTATAACTTTGAAGATTTTATTTATCATTGGTTAGTATTTGCATAAATTAGACAAATGCGCCCGTTCTCTAACAACTCCGTTATAGAAATGAATTGCTATCCTTATTCATTTGTATGGAAGATATGTATTTTGTCTAGATATATAGCAATTTTTTCATTTAATTAAAAAAAAACTTAATCTCACCGATTATATTTACATATTATTAAAACCTCTTTGTAGATGACATTGGTAGTGCCAACACAATCTTGTTTATCTTCGTCTAGAGCTACCACCTTGAATCCATCAGGACAGTTTACTTGGGTGAAAATATATAATGGTAGAATATCACTCAATTAGTTATCCTTTTATATTTTCAGTCAATTAGTAATATCAGATTCATTTTCAGTCAATTATTTATTTTTATTTTCAGTCAATTAGTCAATTATTATAATATCAAATGCAGTGATATTTTTACCTAATTTTCGTTCCAGTTTTAATTGATGATGTATATATTATTATTGAAATATTTCAATTTAATTTTTAATTTACCTTTACTGTTGTTTAAAATATGCATTTACTATTGATAATGTAGAATATTATCATAGAAATATTTTCCTCCAATTTTTAATTAACATGGAATGATCTGACCATTTATTTTGTATTATAGTCAATTGTGGATCATATTTTATTTGCATTCAATTATTAATATTCATTTCCTTTTATATTTTCAGTTAATTAGTATTATTAAATTCATTTTCAGTCAGTTATTCTATTTTTTTTTTCTTTTCAAGTCAATTAGTCAATTGGAATATAGATGCAGTGATATTTTTACCTAATTTTCGTTCCATTTTAATTTGATGACGAAGAATATGATTATTGAAATATTTTCGTTTCATTTTTAATTTAGCATACTATTTTTTAAAATATGTATTTACTATTTGATGATGTAAAATATTATTATCGAAATATTTCATTTCCATTTTTAATTTTCCTTTACTTCTCAAAAAAAAAAAAAAAAAAACTTTGTACTTCTCAATACTTGCCCACATTGATGGGCAAGTAATTATGATCCCAAATCATTTACAAAGGGAGCCCTTGGCTCCCCTTTGTCTTCTTCTTCTTCCTTTTTTTAATTTTTATTTTATTATTATTAATTTTCACTTTATTTTGTATATAGTTTTGTTTGGATTATTATTAATAATAATATTATTATTATTAATTAATTAATAATATTATTATTATTACTAGTATTTGTCCCGTGCGATGCACGGAAAATATGTTATAAAAATATACCCTATATGAGGTTTATTCATATATAAAATTTTTGTTATTTAATAATTATTCTGTGTGAATTTCTATGATAAAATTATGAACATAAATATATTTACAATTAAAATAATATTTAAGGTGGGTGATTACTACAAATCTTAAACTATATTAATAATTTAGTACATAGTATTTAATATTACAGATTTTTAAGAACTTAGTAAACTACAATAGTAATTGAATTACAATTTTAGAGTCACCACATATCAAAATTTTTAGACCTTTGAGATTTCAAACTCTAGATGTAGCAACATACAATTGACCTTTAAAGACCAAAATCACAATCTTAGTTCGAACATTGATTTTTTCTTCCAAATACTATCGAATTAAGTGTGTAATCAATAAAAGATGGGAACTAATAATTCGAGAATATAATCTTAATGTTACTAAGCCTACTTCACGTCAATTAAGTTGGAGAGTGTTGTTGGATAGTATCCTATGAATCCACGAATAACGCATCTTTGTCTCCGTAGTCCTCAATATGCACATCAACAATCTTAAATATTAGGCCGCCTAGCTATGCCATATATTAATTTCAAACTTATGAACTTTGGGATTGCATGCAATAAAAAGTATATTTTAAATATACTAAGGGTACATTATATATGTATGTAAAGTACTTTCAATAAAAAAATAATGTATTTTTAATATATTAAAAATGTATTTGATATTCATGATCCATACAATTATGTGGACCATCGTTCACACAATAATTTGCCAGTAGAAATTGAGATATAAATAAATAAATAAATAATATATATATATATATATATATATATATATATATATATATATATATATATATATATATATATATATATATATATATATCAAGGTTGCAAAACTCGGCCGCCTAGGCGCCCGCCTAGGCGCTAGGCGGCACTGAGCCTTAGAGTTTTGGCATAAAGGCGGCCAAAACTCGGCCGAGTCGACCGATTTCGTCCGAGTCGACCGATTTCGTCCGATTTTGATCGTTTTTGACCGATTTTGTCTTATTTTGACCAATGTCGTCTTTCATGAATTATTGATTTTAATATTATTATGACATTATGACTTATAAATTATCATTATTTCATTTATTTAGATGTGTTATTTGAGTGAACGTTGAAAACAACCTCATTAAAATTGTCAAACTACAAGTCTGTAACTATTTTTTTTAATTTTTTTGGTGCCCGCCTAGCGCCGCCTAGAATCCGCCTAGCCGCCGCCTAGACTGCCTAGGCGCTAGACGCTGCCCGGCCGCCGGACTAGCGCCTAGCGCCTACTGCAACCAATATATATATATATATATATATATATATATATATATATATATATATATGTTAGAAACTGTCAGTGGAAATTATTATCATTATTATTATTGCATATGGCTTTATTATATATACGATAGGATAGGCCATATGTGTCATATGTGTCGAAAATATGTTTGTATCCAAATTTCCCGACAGAGTGCTGTTTATGCTAATCTTGAATCTTAATGAATTGGGACTGGGGAAACCTAGCTTATTATCTGCATAAATTGTATAATCCCTTCTGCCTCTATCCCACCCAATATATGTCACTGAGAGACCAAATGACAACAAAAAACTTGCAAAGCAGATAAAGTGTAACATAAAATTTTTTTCAACCTACCTAACTTTCTTCCTATACATACTCTACCTATAAATATTTGTGAGGTGACCATTATTCTTGTATTTCTAAGCCATACAAATTATTAAAAGCAATCCATTCTTTTAGGATACAAACAATCCTATAAATACCCTATAACACAATGCCAATGGCCATTGCATCTCTGCAGATAGAGACACATTTTTCCATTTCCTCTTACTTTTCCTTTTTATTGCAGCAAATCACAATAAAAAGGAAATGGAGTTTTCTTTTCTGCAGCTCACCATCTCCATAATTGCCTTAGCCGCCATTGCCCAAACATCTTTCGTACAATCCGCCTGTGACTCTGATTGCGTTAAAGGGTTTGTTGCTGCACATAACGCGGCCCGACAAACTGTTGGATCTCCACCTGTTAACTGGAACTCCACCTTAGCAGACATCGCCGAATCCTATGCTGCCAAGAGGTCTGCTGACTGTGTGCCGCAGAACTCTAACGGGCTGTATGGGGAAAACATTGCGGTGGCCTCTGCCGAATTGTCTCCGGCGGATTCCATGAAGTTGTGGATGGGTGAGAAGAAGGACTATGACCACGCATCGAATTCTTGCACCAGCGGCAACAATTGCCGCTCTTATACGCAGGTGGTTTGGGGCGGCAGCACGAGTATTGGCTGTGCTAGGGTTACGTGCAAAACTGATTGGATGTTTGTCATCTGCTACTATAACCCTCCGGGCAACTATATGGGCGAAAAACCATATTAAACACAATTTTTTTTTTATGATTAGTATGATCTTGTGAAATGCACACAGTGCATTAAAAATATATATATATAAATATTTAGAAACTACAATATTATCACTAATGTATTATCATGAAACAAATATTGTTTCATGCACGGATGCTGAATCAATTCAATTTTGAACTTTTTCTTTTACATTTGGCTAGCTATTCTTCGAATTTTTTTTGTCTGGGTTCGTGCATAATACTTGGTATCCCGACTCATCATTGTGAGTTCAATCATACTTGTAGAACACTCTTTAATATGCTGCACTCAATTAACTACATAATTTCAGTAAATAAAACTTTTGCCTAGCCATATAAGAGATTATGGAAAAGGCTAAGAAAAGAAGGGCAATTTGATATAAGATATATATTATGGTTGATTATTGCAATGTTACGAAATGGCAAAGAGTGAGATTATATTGCATGGTTAGTATGCAGTTAAAATATATAAGTAATATAACATTGGCTTGTGAAAACGGGCAACACTGCAAAGGTCTCGATTATAGTGGTTTTTCTCAATTTTGTGTTATCGCTCAATATTGTCCTTCGTGGGTGTTAAGTACAAGGATAATTTATTGCTCGACTATAGTGAGTTTTCTCAATTTTGTACTAAACGACTTTGGTGTCCTAAATTAGTCCTAGAATTTTGTGTTATTGCTCAATCGTTAGGTAAAGTACAGGGATAATAAATTAGTAATTTCAAATTTAGGTTGCCCTTATCAAAGGAGGAGCCTGGAAACCTCTATGCCCTTAGCGAAGGAGGAGCCGGGATCAAAGCTGGCCGCAGAAGCTAGAAGGCGTGGGCGTGGCGGAGAACAATGAGATGGAGGAGGAGATAGACATGCAGTTAAAATATATTACATTGACTTGTGGGAACTGCACCGCTCCAAATGTCTCTTTGGGAATAAACATATATATTTTCTTTCTCTTTTAACGGCTTGATATGATAAAAATATAAATATTTAAAAACTACAATATTATCACTAATGTATTATCATGAAACAAGTTTCATTGTTTCATGCACGGATATGATGTTGATTCAATTCAATTTTGAACTTTTTCTTTTACTTTTGGCTAGCTATTCTTCGAATTTTTTTTTTTTCTGGGTTCCTGCATAATACTTGGTATTCCACTAATTGTGAGTTCATTCTTGTAGAGTTCTCTTATTGCAGAACCCTCTTTAATATGCTGCACTCAATTAAATAGCTACATAATTTATGGATTTAAGATTCAGTAAAACTTTTGCCTAGAAATTTGATGTCTCTTTATAGAAGAAACACTAATTGTTGCCTGGTCACATTCAAAACTTCAAAGTAGGTCTTCCAGTCATATCTTCATACTCGGGTGATATCAAAACTTGATTCAAATGTGTCTTGTTTCCCTCATATATAACAGATTAATTCCTTGTCAAGTCACCTAAGCACAATTAATATAATCAAAATAAATGAGTATTTAAGACACTTTATCACACATGTATGTTGTTGAATTGATTAACAATAAGATTTGATACAAACATTATTACAAATTGAACCAAAAAAATCTAACATTATGAACCTAACATTGGGAATCTTATTGAACCAGTGTTCTCCTTTACCGGCTTGATATATTCATTTTTGATAGGAGACACCAGAAGCACACAGACCCTAGAGGTGCAACTGTTATACCATGGACCAGGGTTCACATTGTATTGTGGATTCTGTTCCAGTATTATATTAGACCTGTAAGTGTAAAATTATTTACACGTTAAACCTTATTGGGTATTTTATTTAGTAGTGGTATTATTAGTTTTGAATTAAGAAATTAATTAGAGTTGTTAGAATTAATTTTCTTTTGGACCATGTGATGTCTAAATGAGTGGACAGTGTGCATTGGAGAATGAAGTCAGCCAACATATGAAGCTTTCAAAGAAACAAAAAAAAAAAAGAAAAAGAAAAAAGAGTGTGGCTATGATTTATTCGAACAAAGAAAAAGGCTAAGTTTAAGGATAACAAATGAGGCTTAATATCTACTATAAAAGGAAGCTGTTCGAAAGACGAAGATTGCCAATTTTTAGATCAATATTCCGAGTGCACATTTTATTACAAAGCTTCCTGATTTTAATCTGCTATGTTATTTAATTGTTAATAATATTCAATCTGTAATTCATGACCTGTACGTGGTACTGCTGAAGCATCTTGTGACGATTGTTCAGGCATTCGTGTGCCAGTCCTGGATAGGTGTTAGAAAGAATGGTAGTGGTAAAGGCTGGAGGCCATCTGTATTTACCTCTTGTAATACTCCTTTTGGTGAACATCTATAGTGGATTGGGCAGACATGGGGTGCCCCGCAGACGTAGGAGAAGGAGCTCCGAATTGCGTAACAATTCTTCTGTGTTTTTACTTTATTTTATGCTTCCCGTTTTCATTATTTATATTTGGTTAATCAAGTTTAATTAATGAACGTAATTGGTGCATAACGAAGAAAACAAGTAAAAATACATTTCTTTTTAATTTCAAGTCTCACGGTGCAATTTCAATTAGTATCATAGCCTGTTGACTTAATTTATTAGTCTATTGTTCTGGCGATTCCGTGCCCCTTAAATTCTTCTCTTCAGCGGCTCTTATTGTGTATCTGTTTATTGCTTATTTGTTTGATCTCACGGGTTGTTAAGTGTTACAGAATGGATCGAACAAAAGTCATTCCCCAGTTGACCGGCGACAACTACGCCTATTGGAAGGCTCGCACTCGTACGCACCTAAAAGCTCAAGGTGAAGCCATGTGGCGGTCTGTGGTGTCAGGCTGGACACATCCCACCAAACCCAGTTCCAGCACTGACGGAACCGAAGTAGCTAAGCCTGAGACTGAGTGGACTCAAACTAAGATAACAGACGCTGGAAACAATGATAAGGCTTTAGACACAATTTACTCTCTTATGCATGAAAGTCAGTTTTCAATTGTTGCAGGTATTCCTTCAGCCAAAGGTGCTTGGGAAGCTCTTGAGTCAACCTACGAAGGAACTACATCGGTGAAACAATCAAAGCTGCAACTGGTCCAGTCAGACTTCGAAGAGCTTCGCATGAATGAAGATGAGACAATCATCGACTTTCACACACGTGTACAGGAACTGGCGAATCGTGCAATGGTCCTTGGTGAACCATTCTCGCAAGCAAAGCTTGTTAAGAAAATACTGAGATCTTTACCTCCCAGGTTTCGAATGAAAGTCACAGCCATCCAAGAGCATGAACCGGTGAAAAGTTTCTCGGGAAGGGGCCAATGTGCTACTAGTTCCCTTGAAACATTACTCTGACTAAGGAGTTGGTTATTTTTAATGAGGCTTAGTGCCAACCAACTTTCCTGGGAGTACACTTGGAATTGTTTATCATATTGCGGCATAATTGTTTTTAGGCTTTAAAGTTGATGCCTAAGATATTAAGAAAATCGTCTAGTGATCTTATAATTTTGATTAATTAAGTAGTAGCCACAGTATCTTTGATTAATTGAAATTTTGTGAGATCATATACAGTCATAGACGTATTGATTGTGATTAATTATATGATATAATAAAATTTAGCCCACAAGCAATTTTGTTATGTTTATATAATTAATTGGGGTAAAGACATCAAACTATGATCATAATTTAGCCCACAAGCAATTATGCATCGGAATATAGTTTTGGTGAGTTTTATCATTACAGATTGGAAGGTCAATTTATTTAACATATAGTTATAATATAAATAAATTGGCGTCTTCTATCATAAAGTTATGATATATGTACATATTCACAAGTATTTTTATGTGTACATTTGTGGTATTAGTCTAGTTTCTTTTATGTGTTTTTATTATGCATGAATGAAATTTGGATTAATAGCTTGGTACATTAATCTTCTTTTGTGTACAAATATCAAGTGATCAATACAATTTCATAACTGAAATTATTAAGTTTTTGATCACTTTGTGACTAATTACAAAAAAATATAATAAAATCTACCCACAAGAATTTTATTATATTAATGTAAATAGTTAGAATAAAAAAAATCAAATCATATTTCTTAATTTACCCACAGGGATTAAGAAATGGAACATGGTTTGATAGTTTTATCATAAAGTTGTAGATGGATCTAATTGAATAAAACTTTAGCCCACACACAAGTTTTATGTCACTAGATTCTTCTATCCCCTTTGATAATAATTTTATCATAAAGTTTTAGTTGAGTCTAATTGAACAAAACTTTAGCCCACAGGCAAGCTTTGTGTCACTAGATTCTTCTATTTGATTATTATAAAGTCTCAGTTGAGTCTAATTGAATAAATCTTTAGCCTACATGCAAGTTTTATGTCACTGGATTCTCATGTTTAAATTGATGATCAAGATAAAATTTTATCATACCAATTTTAGAATTTATAACTTTAAGGCCAGTTATAATTATATATTTTGTGACATGGGTTGCATTGGCAACACATGTATTTTGTTAACTTCCAAAACTTTAGTAACTTGAAATTGTTACTGTATGTGGCTTACTTGGTTTTTCAGCACAACCACAGTAGAGATTTTGAATTTAGACGTGATATACCTTTTGGATCCTTATATTGGAATTGTACATATCTAGCCAAATTTCAACTAAAGCAATTTAATTTGTTTAAGTTGTTAGAAATTGTGTCTGTTACATGTACATATTTAACATGTCCAACTATTGTAGGGAATTATAATCTTTGTTAAATTAGTTGGACTTGAGGATCATTAGTGTGTATATCATTTATGCTCAAGAATAACTTTATTAGTGGGAGTAATGGTTTGATCAGTGGGAGTGATCATTTAAAAGATCAATAAGATGCCCCATTTGATCAGTGGGAGTGATCATTTGGAAAGATCATTACAGATGTCTGACTTCAAGATTGCTCTACTTCAAGGATAAGACACCTTGCCTTGTTATTATAAAATCAATAGTTTAATTTGTTGAACTACAAGTTGTGCAACATATTTCTGAAAATGTTGTAACAA